GGCCGCCGGCCCCGGGCTGCGCGGCCGCGCGTCGAGCTGCTTGCTTCATGGGTGTTTAAATCACGATTTCCCCGTCCCGCCCCGTCGGGACGCGGCTCTTTGCTGAGCTTGTTCTTGTGCTAGCGCAGATGGTGTAGAGCAGAGGACTCTTGGGCTGAAAAACAATCTGTCAGGAAGAAAAAACAGAGAAAAAATTATCCAGCGTAATTTTACCAAATCTGTTCACATAACGGCGCAAATTACTGTGCAGTAATGTGCACGGTATTGCACATTGGCAATTGGCACTGTGTAGAAGGGGGAGGGAGAGCAAAAGCTGCTGAAAAAAGCGCTGCCAGTTTAAATGTGTGCTACACATTTACAAGGATGTTTTTCAACAGTAATTTTTGTGTAAGAAGACTCAAAGCATTTGTGTGCCAATACAGCTGCTCGTGTGGCACTGCGGTAAGACAGTCCGGGGATCCAAGCTTGGTTTGACATAAACCTCACTGGTAGTAGATTTTGTTCTTCTTTTGTTTGTATTAGGTCATCTTCATTTTAGAATCACACTGAAATAAGTTTTTGTTCTTCTTTTGTTTGTAACAGGTCATCTTCATTTTAGAATCACACCGAAATATTTGTGTGTAGTTTCAGTGCCCCCATTTTGAAGAGTGTGTTAAAAAATGAGGATGATAGAGAACTACATCTAGAAAACACGGTGTATACCACGGGTATTTAAATTGGCCAGTTTCTTCTGGAAAAGATCTTTAGTTGATTTAATTAAGTTTTCAAGTACCTTTCAGTGCAATACGGAATCCTAAAGGATTACTAAATCTAGAAGAGACAGGAACAAGAGGATCTAGTGGTTAATGACAGGCAGACAACAAACTAACCATAATTTTCAAAAGTTACAATGATTAACAGTTGACATAGACAAATTGGAATGTTATGGATTCAGTTCCTCTAGAAGTCTTCAGGGTAAATTGCTGTGCTTTTACAGAGGGTGTGCTTTAAATCAAAATAAATTGCTGAGTCTTGTAGGCGTAACTGTGTAACTGGCCACTTATTTGTATCTCAAGAAGGTCTTTGTAGAATTAGTGGCATATGAATGAATCAAGTAACAGGAGACTTCAAGAGAGGGGAAGTACTTTCAGGGCATGTGTTTAATATCTATATCCTTTTATTTTCGTGTATATGTTATAAAAATAGCTATACTTCAGGGGAAGCAAAAACCCTTGATTTTGGGGTGGTTTTTTTTAATGACAATGTTTGCAGTGGGAGCATCTACCATCAGAGTGTGTCTCTGGTATGTCAGAGTGCAAAGCACAGATCTATTTTAGCTTCATCATGTAATTTTTTCCTCAGCTCCAGAAACCAATGTAAATATATTTATGTTTATATATAGTTAAATGTTGCTGTAAGTAGTCATTAACAGAACTTTATGCTGATTTAAAAAATGCAAACCAGAACTGATTTATAACAAGTTTAGAACTTTTTTCCACATCAGCTCTGAAAAGCTGGTACTTCCTGTTTCTTGAGATTTTTTTTAATGAAAGGTATTCCTTCAAGTTCATTATCATATTCAATGGAATTCTAAACCTCCAATTTTGTTTAAAAATAACATCAGTTGTTCTATGTGCTGAGATGGATGTAATCAAATCTTACTCAGGTAAACTGGAATTGTGAGGAAGGTGTGGAATTTTATATTTAAATTCAGTAGTATTTTGCTGTTTCGTCTAAATCTGTATTTGCGCTTAATAAATTAATGTGTCTTTCTTACAGAATTCTGAGTAGTGATGGAATAATGTAGTAATCAATTTTTACTTCATTTTTCCCCTGAATTTAAGAACTTGGAAAGATGTCTGTGTTCTGCACAGTGAAAGCTGGGTCCAGAGAGTGTTCAAAAGAAAATACTTGCAGACAACAAGGTAACTGTTTCCCTAATTCTACCCTTGCTGAAAACACCAATATTTTTAAACAATAAGGTTATTTACTCTGTGTTCTGTTAATTTCTTGCTTCTCTACTAGGAATGCCAGTGAAATGTCCTGGAAATTCCAAACTGATTTTCCACAGGACACAGTAGTTTGAGTAATGCAGCTTTTAGACACTAATATTGGGCTGTGGAATGCATCTGAATTTTTCACCTGAAACTTTATTTTAAACTTCCTGTGGACTTGCTTTGAAAGAGAAGAGAATTGTCTATAGGTAGTATTTATAATGGTCAAAGGAATAGAAGCAATCTGTTGAGCACAGAAATTGAAGTGCCAGGGATTATCTATTACATTTCATTCCTTTTGCCCCCCCGAAAGAAACTGCATGTATAAAGAACAAAAAAAGAGCTTATGACATAATCAAGCCTACAGCTTTTGTGGATGTTAGTTTCGAATAAAGTGAAGGTAATAGTGGTATGCATAAAGAATAACAGGGCAAAATCTAGTTCTTAATGTTGTTATCAGAAACTTTTAGCACAAAAGGACAATCAAATACTTTTAAATGTTCATTATACTAAACTGAAGGGGGAGCTAATTAGGATGAATGATTTCATCTTAATACAGTCAAGATTAAGAAAAGTCAGATGGAGAGATACTGGAATTCTTAAATTAAATTGCATTTAGATTGAAGCCATGCAGATGGGAGTAGCACTAAACTGATACAGTGTAGTTAAAAGAATGTGTGGGTTCAGGAGTTTCCTTTTTTTACCCCAGAATTTGGTTTTGCATCATTAAGATTGTTTCTAAGCATATTTAAGTATGATCTTTTTGTAATTTTATGTTCTTTATTGTTTGCTTGCCTTGTCTCTTTCCTGGGAAGTTACAAAGAGGCTAAATAGCCTCCACTTCTTATAGGGCTTCTTTCCCACTTTTCTATCTCTAGTTTGAGCAGTTATTTTGTAGCATTTTTTTTATGCACAGAAAGGCTGTGTGCTTGGTGTGGACAATTGAAAGTTCTCTCCAGTTAATTGTTTAAAAAAAAAAAAAAAAAAAAAAAAAGGCAGCCAAGTAATAAGTAAAGTTCAGATGGTTCATTTTTGTTATGCACTGTTGACTTCAGCCTCTGGCATAGTATTTCTGTGAAATACAAATCAAGCTGATAAAAACAGACTTTTCCAGACAGTTACAAAATGTGAGTTCATCATTTTATGGGTGCATTACTTTATATACAATGGCCTGATATATTTTGAACAGTATTTGGAATACTGATAAAGCCTTATCAGTTAATATTTTATCTTTATTGTTCAATAAATGCTCATTAACTGTGCACCATTCATCTTATATTCTTTCACTGTAGCTTTTTGCTAGCACTATTAGAGAATGTATATAATGTAACTGGAATCCTTTTGGCTGTTACTGAAATGCAACTGCTTTTTCTTTTAGAAATAGGACAGCTATTGTGTACTAAAAATTCTGTTCAATTATGTTTTTAAGGTATAAAATGAAGAATAGTGTGTCTGTTCTGGAGTGGAGAGGGAATGTAAGTAAGCATAATGTAACTAAGTGATGGAATTTGGCTAGCATCCTTGCAACTAATGCCAGCACTTAAAAGCCTTGGATACTTCTTGTTCTCATTATGCTGAATGAGAACATGGGTCAAGCATACCGTACATTGGAAATGTTCTTGATAGAACATCAGGCTTTCACAGTTGTTCTTTAATCCACAGTTGGTAGCTAATTAGGGTAAAACTGATGATGTAAATAGTTAAAAAAAATTAAAGTTATGTTGATGTAGCTAGACAAAGAAGAGAACATGAGCTAACATTCCCAGTGGCTCCTTTTTAACAATAAATAAATGATAAATCATGACATGATTATGCTAGTATACAAAAATTAATTTTTTAAGGAGAAGATATGTGTAGACTTTCTTTTCTAACATAATGATTTATCTTTCAAGTTGCACATTTCTCTCATCTTGCCAGAATAAATTTGTTCTCAGACTGATACCAATAGATGTTTTGTATTCTTCTTGGATGTACTTGTTGCTGATAATGATGGGGATATTGTTGTGCTTGTGCTTAATGGCTACTGAAATACAATTGTGTTTAACTATATCTTTGTCTTATTAATTTTTTTAACTACACGCAATCTGACTTGATGATCTAAATGGGAGTAAACTGTCTGCCTTAAAATAAGTGAAATTCTGTAAAAAATTTTTTAATATAGAATAACTGAACACAGGCACTATTGAAAGATTAAAAAAAAAATAAAATCCAGCTGTTCATGCTTTAAGTTGTGGCACAAATAAGCATTTTAAAGAAATGACAGAAAT